TCGAGTCCGACTCGGGGTCAGAGGTCGGCGGGTGTTTGCCCTGTGGATGGTGATGTCCTGTCAGTCAGAGATCAGGGGGAAGATTCACCTGCACATCAATGATCACAACATTCAACCCACATTGTTGATCAGCTCTGTTGTTTCCTCTGATTCTGGCATTGATAAATGTCCTAATTACTTCCTTCATTGATCAGTGAGTCTGTAAAAACAGCACCCAGTCTGACAGTTTGTTGTTCTGTCAGTAAACTGAACATCTGGGCGAAAACGAGACATTTTAGACATAAACATAATGAACAATAATGGAAAGAGCTGCTGTTCTGATTGTTGTTGTGCAGGTCAACTTCCAGCTCTTTAAAGGACCATCCCGCTGTGTCTGACTATTCTCCAAATCATCCATCAGGTCTCGTCTCCACCTTCTTCCCTCCAGGCTGCAGCAGAAAGCAACCAGTCTGCTCCGTGTTCTGACCATTTAAAGCACACAGTGTGGTCACTAATGAGCCTGCAAACAAAGCAGATAATCAGATGGATATGAAGTTCAGTGGCTCTGCAGCTGAAAGCAGTGTTTTTGAAAACTGTTGCGTTCAAGGACACTCAGTAACTGATGTGCTCTGAAAGCAGATCATCAGCAGCGCATGTTCAGTTTGTCACATTAGAAAAGTTTGATCTCTGCTCTTAGATGCCGGAGTGTCCTCAAACGCTGCCCTCACCTGTGCAGGTGAGTCGGTGGTTTGATTTGCAGCTCGGTCAGCTCAGCGAACTGTCCCTGAACGTGTCGACGATGCGTGCAGGCTGTGATCTGATTGGTCGCTGTGTGGATGAACTAACTCCTGTACTATTTTTTGTTTTTTTTGGTTTTTTTTTGGAGGGTGGGAGGGGCCTTTTTATAAAGTTTGGTAACCGTGGTAACGACAATGCATGTGAGAGTCTGTTTTATAAGATCAGAGCAGGGGCTGATGGGTAATGTGGGGACGTTGCCATGGTAATGGGGAGTGTGTACGTGTGTGTGTGCCAAAGGCCTGGAGGAGGCGGCGGCTCATGTCGGGGTCAGAGGTCAGATTATTTATTTGTGTATCAGGTGATGGACTGACGGACGTTTGTTTATATTCTATAAATCTATGAATTCAAATGTCTATAAAAGATCAAAGTGAACCGACTGAGTCTCTGCTTCCTGATGTTCCAACTGCTCACCGTGTTGTCTGTTCTCAGCAGTTCATAGCTGATGACCTGCTGAAGCCTTTTATCTGTACTCAGTATGTTCTGTACATGTGAGAGCATTTCTGCAGGAGCTGCTGATTTCAGTGAATATTCTCATTTGCTGTTTTTCTCTGTTAAAACTCAGAAACGCCTGTGAACAGAAACTTCTCGCTGTAACACCTGAAACATCCGGAAATCTCTGTTTTTCTTTTAAAGCAGTCTATGGGATATTTCAGCACCTGCAAAAAACTGACACGTATCTGATAAACGATTAAAGCTGCAGCACTGAAACCAGCCAGTGCCTCACATATCCTTAACTAGTAGCCATAGCGCCACCATGTGGTGACACACGTACCAATGCATTCCACTAAATATTCCATGAACATCGGCGTGAGGTGCAGTGAAGCACGCTGAACACTGAGACCTGCATTTTAAAAATGTTTCTGCAGTTTTTTCACTTTTTGCTGAACAGAATCCAGCTCCATGTCGGACATCGTGCGGCCAGCAGCCTCCAGCAAACCTCTGTGGTCCAGCCAATTCCAGCTGCTGTTTGTCTTTGCTTCATATGGGAATGAAATCAGATGCAAGTGCAGCCTGAGGCCAAGTGTTCAGGTTCCTTCTGGTTTCTCTTCTGGTGGAAAAGCATTGGTCAAGAGATTACAAAATCAGACAAGCAGAAAATCTGAATTTGGTGTCGACTAAAAGCTTTGAAGGCCAATCACCAAACTAACTGGATGCCAAAGAAATGTAGAGAATGTGGAGGTGAAGGACGAATAAAGGAGCAGAACTCCAAAAAAACATTTGTTAGAGCTTCTTTGATAAATGACATCCAGCATCAGCGTCTGCAGCTTCATCCACATGTTGATTCTTCTCCAGCCCAATCAGGAGTTCAGAAGAACAGCAGCCAAGGAACCTTCTCAGAAGGACACAAGAGTGAAACAAGCAATAGATTTAGATCCATCCTGTCATTCCCTCTGGACAGTGTCTGCTTAGTAAGAAGATGGTTTTCCATAAGGCACCAAAACAAACAGATGCCACAAGTACCTCAAACTGCTACTTACATATGAACACCTGAGTAAATGTACTCGGTTACTTTCCACCAGTGTTTGGTCACATGACGACACGGCACAACAGAAGTGAGAAAAAGTGCATTTATTTGTTTACCATTTTCTCGGGCAGGCAGCTGATTGGAGGCACTGACTCCTCCATTAGCCGTAACGAATGACAACCAACAGGCTCCGCCCCTGCCCTTAAACTCTGTACAAACCCCGCCCCTGGCCCCACCCTCAGCACCTTAAAAACAGAATCTGCCCACCTCCCCCTGTCCCCGCCCGTCTGTAAGGTCCGTCGATAAAAACCAACAAACACTCGATTAAAAACAGAAACAAACACACAGGTAACAAAACGCTCCGTCAGGCTCCACCCCCTTCACACGGGAGGTGGGAGGGGCCAGCGCAACCGCAACACGGCATCATTTTTCGCCTCTCATTGGTCCGCCGGTATAATTGGCACGTGAGGAGGCGTGGCCTGCACAGCCTGTCCTCTCCAATGAGGGGGAGGGGGCGGAGCTAGTCTGAGTCCGAGTCACTGGATTCCTCCGAAGACGTCTGATCTTCATCGTCTTCGTCTTCATCTTCATCCTCATCGTTCTGAGGAGACAAATACAGTTCAGCTTGAATATTTTATTCATAGAAGAACCAACAGCAGCTGGTTTTATTATGTGTAGCTGAGAAGCTGCTGTCGGTTCTGATCCACACTTTAGTCTGACTCTGCTTTACATGGAGTCAGACAGCAGGGGGCGCTGCTGCAGGCTGGTGCAGGAATTAAGGCCACCAGTAGATCATCCATCCATCATCT